TAGTTACCGCAATTTATTTTTGCGTGATTTATCAGGAGTTTTCAATAAGTTCATAAGTATTTTGGGAAAAAAACTACCATAGAGTTGCTCAATACATATACAATGTGGGTGGTTGTGCGGATTAGAGTGTGCGTCTGGGTGTGTGGTGTGACTGTATCAGTACATCATCAGAATTAATAAAGTCGAAATATACAAGAAACTCATTAGAAAAAATAAATTCTGATAGTCCTTCATGAATGGAATGGAGCTTCTAATACAAATATGTATTCTCTGAAGAATTGAATAAAATAGACTTATCTCATATGACGATATGGTTAATGACTTTTCAATTCATATGTAATTGTATAAGAAGACTTACGTGCAATTATCATCTGAATTCTAACGCTCAGTGATATCGAATTTCGTTGCATTTTTAAATCTAATGGTGAATTGCTAAGTAATATATTTAATTGTTCTAGTTCATGTTTCCATATTTTCATGTATTTGTTCACAGAGTTAATTTTGTTAGATTTCCGACAAAATTCATCTTTTAGCGGGAGCGATGGCAGCTCTTTTTTGAGGAAATGTTAAATATCATGAGATAATGACATTTGTTTGACTTGCTTTGCTACTAGTTGAATTTTAACGAACAAGCAACGTTCCCATTCGTCGACATTTTCTATTGATACATATTGTTGTGTCTGACATGGATCATTATTCTTCTCAATTATAAGCTGTTCCAACTGTTGACTGAGATCCAAACGATGTTGTGCATAATTTTCATCACAATAAAACATCTGTCGACATCTTAAACATGTCGTTATGTCTGTTTTTGTACAACATTTAATGAAACAACCTTCACTTTTTGCTTCTATCATCATGTGAATATGTTGATGTCGAGTCTATTGAAGAATGAAGCCAAAAAGAAATATTTGAAAGAACGAAAAGTATCTCAATTACATTGTATCCACAAAGATTACTTAACGACAGGTAAGCATGGTTGACAAAATTTTACATGTCACTATGAAGAACGAAAACGATAGCGACAGAAAGAAACTGGAAGTAGAAAGAAAGAATGCAGGTAATCAAGCTGTTTTTTTTTATTTCTTAACTTCCACAAACAATAATGAATCATGTTGGTGCACTTCTGTGAGGCAACTATTCTAGTATGTAACTGAAATTTCAAAAAAGCATCACGTTCGAAAAATATTGGAACAGTAATCAAATAAGAATCACAGGAATGTAATCAAATAGATATTATTTTTTCGAATCGAATCGAATCGATCTGCGGTTTTCGTATTTTTCCAAGACCAAAATCCTAATGAAAATGAACAACATATGATGAAAAATGTGTTGAAAGATGTTAAAACTTAATTCCTTACAAAGATATAAAGTCAATTTAAATTATAATCTATTTAGAAGCATAGTTGTCTAGCTATGAAAAAAAAAAATTCTTTTCATGAGCTACATCACTTCTCAACTTCTTAGTCATAGAAAAATACACTCATCCGACACAAAAGGGTGTGGGTCTTGCATCCACACAGACACCCACACCCAACTGTATNGTTTTGTCACAGACACGCAGCGAAAAGAAGGGTGTGGGTGAGGGAGTGAGTGGGGGTGGGGTGTGAGCGGTGGATGTTGCTGCGGTTGCTAGTTTGACTTTTTTCCCTTACACACCTCACACCGACACACCTACACACCCATACCCACAAGGCCTAGTGCACCACGTGAGAAAAGTCCAAAATACAGCCTCTCGGAGTGTGCTATTTCGTTGAATTTACGCAGTTTTTGGCTTATATCACTTTTTTATCTCATAACTTACTCACTTGGGTGTAGTGAATTTATAGATTAAACTGTTTTCTGTCCAACTGAGACGACCAAACCGTTCACACGATAACTTTCGAAAAGAGAGTCCGATCACGATGAAATTTTCTACACAGTTTAGTCTCAACAATATCTCGGTTGAGTTCGAAGATGAGAATGATTGGCCGAGCCACTGCTGAGTTATTGCAAAAATAGTCATTTTTCCTATGCTTTTCTATGCGAAAATCGACACCTCCCTGCTTTCGTAAACAACTTTTCCTATCATAGTCAAATAAAACGCTAACTATTATATACCATTCGATAAAAAATTTCACGAGCTACAAAATGATATATAAAATATAAAGAAAAAAGAAGACTAACTCATCTATTGCAAAGATTATTAAACGGAAATTGGTTCTGTTTTTGTCCACGCTCTAATTAATCCATAAATAGAGCTCTATCTTCCTATTACAGAGATGGTGCCTCGAGGTTTTCTGGGGCGAAGAAATCGAATCTGTAATCTATTTGATTTGAAATCGCATTGGTTTAGCAGTGACCAATAGAAATCAAGTTATAGAAAAAACGACTTTCTGAGGGTAAATCAGGGCGAAGAGTTCAAATCTTATCTATATTCGTTCCCAAATCCTATTGGTTGAGCAGTAGCCAATAGAATTGAAGTGTTTATAGAAAAGGTTTGCCAGGATAATTTTGATGTCCACACATTCTAGGATGGCTCATCTGCCTAATTCACTTTTTGAAGTACACATAACTCTCGGATTTAAATCCGAGGTTTCCACATTTATTATAGCATAATAATGAAATAGATTCATCTTTCAAAAATATGTCAACATCCAAAATTTTTCGAGTATAGGTATGGGTATAAGTTTTCATTTACGTCCACGCCCAAAAAAATGAACTTGATATTAATATATTTTATTGTTTTAGCTAAATAATCTTTAAAACTCTAGGAAACAGAACATAGTAAAGAGAAACAACCAAAAATAGTGTCAGTACAATCTACAAACGGAACCATCACATAATGATCATTTAATGTTTTTAATATTTCGAAAAAAAACTTCTACTTGAAAAGTCAGGAGATCAATACTAAAAACTCATTTTTAATCTGCAATTTATAGTGCAGATGTATATTTTAATTGTTTCTTCTTTTTGTTTAGTCTGGTTTATTTTCTTGTTTAAAAATAAAAAAACAATTACAGTTTCTTTTTTATACTTTCAATGTTTTCTTTCACAAGTGCAATATGTGGATGGTTTGTAGATAGTGAGTTTTTCCAAATTTTTTGAGCTTTTTTGTAAAATGCAAGTGCTTTTGAGTACCGGCCAATGTTTTCATACACCAAACCAATGTTGTTGTAGGAAGTAGCCAAGTCGGGATGATTCGGTGGTAGAACTATTTTCCGGATTTCAAGTGATCGTTCGTACGATGAAAGTGCTTTCGAGTACTCGCCAATATTATAATACACTGCACCGATGTTGTTGTAGGACCCAGCGAAGTCGGGATGATTGGAAGGGAGAGCTATTTGCTGGATTTCAAGTGATTGTTCGTATGATGAAAACGCTTTCAAGTACTCGCCCATGTTATTATACGCATTACCGATGTTGTTATAGGAAGTAGCCAAGTTGGGATGATTGGAAGGGAGAGTTTTCTTGGTAATCTCCAAATCTTTCTCGTAATGTGAAAGTGCTTTCGAGTACTCACCCATGTTATTATACATATTACCAATGTTGTTGTAGGAACTAGCCAGGTCGAGATAATTCGGAGGGAAAGCTATTTTCTGGATTTTAAGTGACCGTTCGTATGATGACAGTGCTTTCGAGTACTCGCCCATGTTATTATACACGTTACCGATGCTGTTATAGTAAGTAGCAAAGGCGGGATGATTTGGGGGGACAGTTTTCTCGTTGATATCTAGCGATTTTTCGTAATATGAAAGTGCTTTTGAGTACTCACCCATGTGTCTATACACCTCGCCAAGTTGATAATTATAATTCGATCTCTCTTCATCAGAAGATGTCTTTTCGAGGAGGATTTTATAGAGCTTTTCTGCTTTTGTAGGGTCATCAAGTTGAATAAGTATATGACCCAGTTGCGACCATCCTGTTGCCCAACTGAGCTCTTTGCGTATGGGTGATGTAACTTTGTCTAATTCGTGATTGTCATTACCCACAAGAGTGAGATTAACTTGCCATAGGCGATCAGTATGATCATCGTGTATTTGTTGAATTTGATCAATACGAAATATTGTATGCGATGTAAAAAGTATTTCTGGTTCATCACCTTCGTAGAACCCTTCTTTGCTGATATCGACGTAAGGAATTGATGATTTTGAAGATATGGTCGGGTCAATGTTCATTATAAAGAGAATGCCAACCGTATCAGAATTTTTTGCCGCTCCTTCGTGAGCAAATTGAAGGGACACCTCGCGATTCTCATTTGTTGAAAGAAAATTATTGAAAGACATTAGGCCACCTTTGGTTTGTTTCATTTTTTCGAAAACGTCAACTGACAAACCTTGTCCACGGAAAACTTTGAATGTTGCCGTAATCTTCGTCTTGGATTGTTGTTCTTGATATAAATTGTCAATATGTTGATGTAAATGTCGAATAAAAAAACCCAATTTGAGTATAATATCGACGTTCATTAGTCGAAGACCACAATTGAGCATTGGGTACAAAAAAAATGGTGCCGTAAACCACCATATTGGTGTATGCTGATGATATTCTTTTTCGACCATCCTAATTTCGTCTTCATCAATATCATCTTGAAGACGACAGTATTCAGCAAGTTCTTTAATCGATGTTGTGTCGTCATCTTCGATATCCAACAATGCTTCTTTTAACAATGGTGTGTACATAAATAAAGCATCAATACCATTAAAAGTGATCGGAACCATAGCTCGATCACAATTTTCACGATCGACTTGTAATGCTTCACAAATCGGTTCGATGCTAGTGTGTACACCTCTTACTTTTCGTATTTTTCTGGCCCATTGTTCATGAGCCGCTTGGTTGCCACAAAACACATAAATTGATTCCAATTGTGGCCATGCTTCAATTTCTGGTATAATTTGCTGTCCCAATGAACCAGATACGATCATAAATACCTTTTCTTCTTTTATTACACTGAGAAAATCAATGGCTTCTTGAGAATCTGTAAATGTTGTGATGGATGCCACAGTTTTTCGAAGATGTTGCAGTGATTTTTTGAAATCTTCATTAGATGCATCAAAATTGGCATCAAGCCATACCAGCAAGAAATTTTGTATTACCCGACGCACAAGTCGGGGTAGAACAGCAGCATGATTGGTCGTAGTAATCATCGTTGTTGCTCCACTAGCAGCAGTTTTTGTCGGTTTTTGTTTGCTCATGATGAATGAATGAACACAATAAGTGAAGCGTCGTTCTCCTATATTTATATAATTGTTTATTCTATTTTTGTTGACACGTTGTTTTCTGGCTTGTTGCTATAGATTTCAAGAGCTTCTTCTCTGTTGATCGAAATGACAATGACAGACAGACGGAATCTCTGTACATCAAGCAACAAGCAAAGAAGAATACTCAAGTAAGCAAAACAAAGTGAAGCCAGACGACAAAACTAGCCCGAAATGTTTGCAATACCTGTTAGGTCTAGTTCTTTTATCTATCTAATCTGTGCAGACTAGCCCGTAAAACAGAAAAAGAATAAAAAATGCAAGCAAAAAAAGATTCAAAGATCTGATCTGATAGTTCTTAACAGTTGGCGAGTGTCCTGACATTATATCATGTTTTACCAATAGACCGAGATCAGTTTTAACAGTCATAATAGTAGAGAGATACTTGTTCATTTGGTAGAAAATCAAAGACTGATCAAGAACAAGTGATTCGATTAGCCTGCAACATCTTCAGAGGCAGTCAAGACTAGTCTAAAGGGGCTGTAGGCGTTAATAAAGAAAAGACTCATGCCAGTCTCAAGTACCCTGAGACGAACTTTTTTTCACCTTCGTGACATACAAAGATCTCAACATTTGTCCATAGCACATGACTTTCTTTCCATAGACAAGCACTTGAGTACTTGCATGAGTCATGCGTATACTCTTGGCATGGTCCACTAGAGTAAAACAGTAAAAATAATCCTATTCAAGACAAAATAATTCCCCTTATTATGCATGTTGTCTAAGGCTAATTACTCATGCCGGCTTCCTTTTAGACCTGCGTATGAAAGTATGTGTTACTTAGACTGTAAATTTTTATTAAAAATCGAATAATTTTTCAACATCAAGTTAAAGAAGAAAAAAAGAAAAGTACGTATAAAATATAATTAAAATTAATTTCACCCAAGCAGATCGTGAAAAGCCAACGATGGATGCGGCAAGTGGTCAAAGCTTTAAAAACAATATTTTTTCTCGTTCTATTCCAACTTCAAACTCCTCGGTAACTATCGAATGTCGAGTCCTCAGCAGCATTATCCGATTGCGCATTTATTGTCGACTTCTCAGACCTATTTCGACTATTCGAAGACAGTAAATCCATCGAAAAAATATTTTCGATTACGCGTTTCAACTTTTATCACTAAAATCCTTCTTGAAATTTGGTTTTCCAGTGACTTCTACTCTTATTGCATGATCTCCGTTGGAAAACTTTTGCTTTCTAGATGCTTTTACATAGCTTTATACTTTCAACAATATTCTTTCATATCTACAACTAGAGCAATGATAGAAGTACGTTTATAGTCTTAATGAAAAAACAATCATAGTGAGTTTTACTTTCTCAACACCCAAGACACTCTGAGCTCTTGAATCACTCGGGGTTTTCAATTACTCATTAGCAAAGAACTACCTGATAGAATCATTTAGGACGATTCACTTGTTTTCTAGTCCTTAAAACTACTTAGATGGTTCAAGATTTTAAAGTCAACCAGAATAAAAAAAGTCAAATTTGTTGTTATTCTAGTTTCGACATTTTTTTTATTGCTTTTTATTTACATCATCTAATTAATTCTAATGTAATTTATGCTATATCATAAATCTTCTATTTAATACAATGAAATTTATAACAGACAGAATCGCTTTTCACGTAACATCAACAATCGCAAGAAGCTATACACTCAGGTGGGGTAATTCGGATCAAAAATTTAAAATTTCATTTCGTTTTCATTCGTTCTCAATCGTTGTGCGTCATAAAGGGATCATTTTTGGAGTGTAACTAGAACAAACTGTCCTCTATCCAATGCTGAAACAATTTTTTAAAAACCTGCTACTGAAAAAACGTTATAATGAAAATGGCAAAAGCTCCATCCAGCTGATCTGGATTACTCTATTTTGGATAATTCGGATCAGTAAGTCAATCTAGTTGGGGTAATTCGGATCACTCCAGCTATTTTAGCTGAATACCACTTTTGAAACCTCTATCACTTCTACAGTACAAATTCGACTAGTAATTCTCAAGGCAAAGTTGTTCATCTCACTTTCCTCTATCTTTATGTGTAAAATAAGGTGATATCCATTGGAAGCGATTAACTATTTTCCGACTTCATCGAATGACCAAAAACGAGTGGCTTTTGCTAGCATACCCCCACCATCCTTTTCAAATTATTTTGTATCTAAAGTAGAAGCTAAGGGAAAAAATTTTTAGTATATCAGATGCAGAAATGTTTGGGCTACAAAATGGTGTAAAATCGAAAGAATTTTTTCTCTAGATTGTTAGAGGTTTTTCTGAACTTCTATGTAAATGACATGTTCAAGAAGGTTAATCACGACATAGTTGAACTCTGTATGTCTTCGAGAATCACCTACTGGAACAAGAATTTTATGTCAGATTATAGAAAATTTTCCTCTGTTTCAAACCGTATATGACTTATTTTTGTTATACACTCATAGCTAAAACCAAGTGAGGTAAAATAAGAGCAACCCTACAACGAAATTCAACTGTACATTCAATATTGGACTAACGAGAATTGTTTAACTATTAATTAAAGACTTTGGCAGAACGACCACTTCTGTACAAAAATCCGATTTGTTCATGTTTAAAATATTTTATATATTATGCACAAGTATTCTTGGGTTATTTCATCTAATAGAATAGTTGACTCTCACCTTAGTAGATTTTATACGTTGAACCAAAATCCAAGTCAAAATTCGAATACCTATCATTTCCCACAAATTGTAGTTCCCTGAATCGGTCCCTAAATCAGGTCCACATTTTTGGACAATTAAACGATTAAGTCAACTCTGGTAACCAAACAGGGACTTCAATTTAGGGACTAGAGACTAATCTCATTCAAATGTTATTTGTTCTTATTGCCGTAATCTGGTCACCAGATCTAGTTCTTTTAAGAAAAACCGATGACCAGTTATAGCTCTTGAAAAAGAACTGGTCGCCAGTTTCGTTTCTGTCGACATAATCTGCTCACCAGATTCAGTTCTTTCAGAAAGAAATGGCTTCTAGCTTGATTTCTTTTAACAAACCTGATCACCAGTTTCAGTTTTTTTTAACATAATCTGGTCACCAGATTCAATTCATCTAAGAAAAACGGGTGACCGGTTATAGCTCTTCCAGAAAAACTGATTGGCAGTTCCAGTTCTTTCTACAAGTCTTGTCATCAGTTACTGTTCTTTTCAGAAAAATTGGTGACGAAATTACTATTTTCAGAAAGAACTGATCTTCAGTGTAAGTTCTATAAAGGTAACTAGTCATTGCATCCAGCGGTCGAAAAGGAACGGACTCATAAAACCGTGAGCTGTCACTGACCTATACATAATAGGTCTGATATTGAAAAGTCCCTAAATAAAAGAATCCCTAAATTAAAGCCCCTACTTGGTCACCACAATTTGTGGGAAATGATAACCTACCTCAAAATTCATCGTGTGATCGTTCCTCTTCTATCTCGTGTAGTTTCGAGTATGAGTGTACAACAATAATAACTCATATATGGTTTGAAACAGGGAAAAATTTTCTATAATCTGACATAAAATTCTTGTTCCAGTAGGTGATTCTCGAAGACATACAGAGTTCAACTATGTCGTGATTAACCTTCTTGAACATGTCATTTACATAGAAATTCAGAAAAAGCTCTAACAATCTAGAGAAAAAATTCTTTCGATTTTACACCATTTTGTAGCCCAAACATTTCTGCATCTGATATACTAAAAACTTCTCCCCTTAGCTTCTACTTTAGATACAAAATAATTCGAAAAAGAGGGTGGGGGTATGCTAGCAAAAGCCACTCGTTTTCGATCATTCGAAGAATTCGGAAAATAGTTAATCGCTTCGAATGAATACCACCTTATTTTACACGTAGAGATAGAGGAAAGTGAGATGAACAACTTTGCCTTGAGAAGTACTAGTCGAATTTGTACTGTAGAAGTGATAGAGGTTTCAAAAGTGGTATTCAGCTAAAATAGCTGGAGTGATCCGAATTACTCCAACTAGATTGACTTACTGATCCGAATTATCCAAAATGGAGTAATTCGGATCAGCTCGATGGAGCTTTTGCCATTTTCATTATAACGTTTTTCCAGTAAAAGGTTTTAAAAAAATTGTTTCAGCCTTGGATAGAGGACAGTTTGTTCTAGTTACACTCCAAAAATGATCCCTTTATGACGCACAACGACTGAGAACGAATAAAAACAAAATGAAATTTTAAATTTTTGATCCGAATTACCCCACCTGAGTGTATATTTTTCTTGACGTCATACAGATTTGTTTAAGATGAAATCCTTATATTTAGTTCATTTCATCTATGTAAGCTGCGTAATCGTAAGTATACGTGTTCGAACTTTCTATTCTGCGAAAATATTCGATAGTTATTAAGCGCTCGAAAGAAAACAGAAATGAGAAACGAAATTTTTTTTCTGATTTCTCAAAAGCTTCGAGTGCATGGAATATTGACCATTTGAAGCTTTCCTTATTTGACCCATCAAAACTCATCGCAGATGGGTATGTCGAGACCATCGAGCTTTCAGATCGACCCATCAGAGTGTCACTTTCTGATGGGTCGAGTGATTGACGTCGGGTGAATAATTTTCAATTCTGTCAATCCATGAAGTTTGCCCTACTATCAATATTAATTAATATGTAATAATAGGTTGAAATGGGTTAGCGGGTAGCATCGCCTTGGAATAGAAAATTCCCATGTAAAAAAGACGAGAAAAAAATACTGATTTTTATCGATGTTTTTACATCGGAAATGTCTCTATTTCGTTCTGTTTTATCTTATCATGTACAAAACAGTACAAGAACATACAGAATCGATCAAAATCGTGCTGAAGTTAATTACATGAGGATTTTCACTATTACTATTGTGAAACAAAATCCAAGTTATAATCGATTATAATTTTGATTATGTCCATAGCATGGCAAAAATAAGGACACAATCTATGTTCATCTTCTATGGGCTCAATGATATGAGAACATCCGGTCACTAAGCGGCTAGAAGTTCTAATCTCATGCATGATAATAGCTGCAGGCGTGCTCTGTCCTTTATTCACTATATCATTTCTTGTGATTTCTCGTATATAAGCTTGTAGTCTATGTGAAGCAGATAAAACTGAAGTGACGAAATAGTGTAGTGTACGTATATACCCAGAGTGACAGTAATGCTTCCCCTTCAGTTTGTCATTATTAATCACAATAAAATACACATTGCAAAAGTAACGAAATAGAGCATCATCTTTCTCTGTCTCTCATTTTCGTTCTACAAAAGATTTCGAAATTTTAGTCAATTGTAATCGGTAAAATTTTCCAGTGAATACGGCCCAAGAATAAGATCAAAATATCAACTCGGTTTCAAGTGTCAGAATGCTTTCGTCATGAGAGCTTTTTCTTTCAGAAAGATAAGCATGCCAATTGATGGAATTCATTCCACTGCTGTACTCTTTGATCGATGTTTAAACAGAAGAGCAAAAAGACTGCCTTTTGTGCCAAATCAGGACGATTCTCCTATTCTGTGAATAAGAATTTTTCGTTTTCATATTTCAATCTTAGATTTTAATTCAGTGTATCGAGATTTAAATACTTTGTTTTTGGTATGCCTATATCATCGAAAAAAAGCTAATACAAGTTGTTGAATTCGTTGCCACGTCAAGTTTCTCAAAAGTGAAAACCGTGTCTTCTACTACTGATACTCTCGGTTAAATGTACGTATAGAAAAAGCTATTATGTTTAACGTGGTTTACAATAAGACTGTTTTATGCATAAGAGATTCTGCAATCAAGACAATCGATTGCATATTCTGAGTATCATCAAGCGAAGCTCTCTTAAAATTAATTTCTAGCCATCACAATCCAACTTGCCTATGTCCTGTCATTTTTTCTTATTTGTAGCTGCTCTTCGCACTCAACTTTAATTTTATCACAACTCTAATAATGTTGAAAATTAAATATACTTACGTACTTGATTATGCTGGAGTATACAAAGTTTGTTTTGTGTGTTTGCAATCAATTTTACTCTGTATTTATCACTGGCAATATTACTTAGCTTTTTCCCACAAACGTATGTTTACGTGACTCAATCAAGCATGGATTTTTCATCTATGTGCTCGTTATCACATGTATTTTGTTTTTCATATATTCGTCCTCTTCTTTTGTTTACCTCAGCTTTGTGTTTTGTGTTGTTGCGATGAAAAAATATACACTGATATGTGTATACCTTTAAATTTGAGTTGCAATGATTCATTGGACTTTGAGCTTTATTCTAATCTATATAAATATTTTCTACTGTAAAATCTTTTTTTAAACTGTTGATCACACAAACAGTATCGAACGCTTCTAAATAAAGAAATGCAAAATTTCATCCTTTTTATTTTATCTTTCAGTTTATCAAAAACTCTATTTACAATTCAAACTTAATCAACTACATTCGAAGGAAGTATGGCGAACATATTTTAAAAAGACTCAAACATGCCAATAAGCTAACAATGAAATTAGTAAAAGCCCAGTATGGTACTGAATTTTTACGTATATACCTCGTTTTATGGTTCAACTCCTAAATTGCTCAAATTTAAGTTGATAAGTAAACATCTTGCCTCAACTCTTCTATTAAAAAAAACTTCAACGTCGACTACAATCTATTCAATACTCAGAAAAACAAAGGAATCTAATTAAACTGAGAAAAGAACTGCGTCGCATTGGAATTAATGGAGCTTTTTACATATATTCACCTCATCATCGTTATAAAATTAAATCATGTCTACTTCACAAAGAACAAGCAAAAATAACACAAGACAAGAATTCACATGGGATGCAAACTTCTATGTTACTTGATTCTGTAGGTGATCATACACGGGTTCCTTTCCTTCTTCTGAACAAATTAGTTCATAGTGTATTGTCAAAATTATCGAGTATTTCACAATTAAATCAAGTGAACAGAGGTTGAAAATTTTATATAGAAGAGAATGTCATTGAAGATCTCAATATGCAAACAGAAATTGAATATGAGTTAATAAAAATTAAAGATGAAGCATAATAGGGAAATATCTGCTAGAAATCCTTATGTACATAATCAAATCAAAGAAGTTGCTGGTGATTTAACTCAAATAGGATGTGGGTACAGGTGTGGGAAGAAATCTTAGTATCATCCCACCCACATTCATACCCCTAGCATCGCAGGACATCGTTGTAGCATTCCTGAAGGCATTTAAACTTGAAAGTTGAAAGTGGAAATTTCAATTGAATTCAAGTTTCAAGTTTGACACTAGTGAAATTTTTATGGCATATGTAACTAATCATGATCTTTTAGTTCTGAAAGTTTCAGCTCTATAGCTGTGACTCATGATAAAATACATCGATCAAAGTGAAATACACAAGTTTTCGTACTCGATTCTTACCTCATTTTTCAGCAAAAATCGAGTACGAAAACTTATGTATTTTACCATTAGTCATAGTTATAGAGCTGAAACTTTCAGAACTAATAGATCTTGATTAGTTATATATATCATAAAAATTTCAGCTCTCTCGGTCGAACAAAAGAATGAAAATATCATTAACGAAAAAGTTGATAAAAACTTGTGTGGCATGCAGTAACATCTATGTATAAGGAACCATGACCACAATTCAGGCATGATATGTACCTCTAACCGTATTATGATATATCCACGTACACNTATTCGTTGTTCCTTACGATCTTATGAACAACTTTCATTACGAACATCCTGTTCTTTTTTAATTTTGATTGATTTTTGTCATTCCGAACTCCCGTCCACTTAATTCCGAACACCCTGTCCTTTTCATACGTCCGGAGAACGTAACGAACATATGCCACTGGAGATCGTAATGAAAAGTTGGTGCGAAATGTTCCTTTTCCCTATCCTCTACCATCAGAAAAAAAAATCAGTTCATTTGATCATAATCCTGTAAAGATATGCAGTTTTCTTTTTGTTAAGCGACTTTTGGTACACTGTATACAGATATATTCAATTATTCAGTGTAGTCCAACTATTGCACTGATGTAGTTCACAATTCATTGTTGATACGCAGTAAATAATATGAATGATTGTTATTTATGTGATTCTCATTTATATTTTTCTGTTGTTGAACTTATTTTAATGTATAAAATGTTTGTTATTTAATTGTATAAAATAAAAAGATGGTGATTGTTATGGGTGGTTGCAAAAATGTCTAAAAATAACTGTTTTGTTATAAACTCTAGGCGAGGCGAGGCAGCGATGAGCAACTCGCCAGCATGGCGAGGCGGTGGCGAGTCGCTTTTTTGACTGACTCGCGGATCTCTGATATATAGATATTCTCTAGACGAAATGTGTGCCTAATCTTATACCACCAAACGATCAATTGCCTTGTTTCATCTACAACAAAATGCCATGACACATACTTAACAACAGTGAAAAATTCGTTACGATATCTTTTATTTTTTGAGAGTAATGAAGAATTTAAAAAGGGGAGTTACTTTTCAGACACACTGTATAAAATGATAATCATTCTACAAAGTGTCTGTCTAAACGTTAGCACATTCTTACTTCGTGAAATGATATTTTAAGTCAAAATATTAATCCAAACATTCCTATCACTTACATATGAAATGGTTCATTATTTCCCAAGAAGAACCGCATGAGAAAGATGGCGTTCTTTAACGCGCTTCTTAAAAAACTCGTTCTTTCAATGGAAGTACAAAGGAAATGCGTTCGAATCTAAAAAAGTTAAATGCATTTAAACAATGTTTTACGTGACGTTTATTGGGAAGAAGCAATGCCTTCGCTTACAAACACGTTCAAACTGTGTTTATAGATGATAACATAAGTTGAAAAAAATAACTTTCTAAAAGTGCATAAAAAATTAAAAGTAAAACGCGAAAAGATGTTTTGTTTTATCCAAAATATGGTGTTGAAACGCTGTTTTATACGCAATTATTTTTCATGGACTTGAGCTTGTTTTGTTCGATGTGCTTGAAGTATGTGAATAGCTTCCTCAATCTAATATACAACATGAACACAATATCTTTTGAAAATTTCTAAGGAACAAAAGACAGACTTTAGTTTCAAGTGATTCACGTGATTCAAGCATATGAAGAAGTTCAGTATTATCAAGCTCGAGAAACATGCCAGTTATTTTACCAGCTAATTCTGGTTGTATTTGTTGAATCAATGGAAATAAACGTTCGCCTAAAATTTGTTTTTGTTCATTTCGTGTTGCATTAGCAAGAATAGCTAGTGTTAATGGTTCTTGTCCAGTGAATCTATCTGCATTCTACAAAAATAAGAAAATCATTTCTTTTCAATCCTTTTAGTTTTTAAAAAAATGCAATGTTTACCTTAGGTGGTATATTTCTTGCCGTACGTGTATAAGTTGTTGCTGGTTGTGATTGTGCACCAGCTTGTGATCGAACAGAATAGCTAGACATCGTTTGCGCTCGTATTAGTCTTGGTCGAGTAGACATTTGAATACCTGATCGAGATGCAACACCAGCCGTAGCTGATTGTGGCATGTGTTTACTTAGCATTTGAGCATATGTTCTTGGCGTCATATCATTGGTAGGAGCAGCTGATAAACCATGTGGTTGTGCTGATCGATCTGTTGGCATTGTATTTGGTGTGAAGAGGTTACGTGGCTGCGATGGACACATCGATGTTTGTATATAGGACATCCTACCACTCATTTCATCGGAAAACGGTAACGGCATTTGTAGAGGCACACGAGATGTTACCATACGTTGCATATGTTGATTAGTTAAATGCATAACACGGTCTACTTTTCGTTGTGCTAATACAACATAAAGTGGTTTGGAACCAAGAATAGAACCGTTCATTTCTGTCACGGCTTTTGTTGCTTCATTAAGTGTAGTAAAACATACAAAACCAAAACCTTTTGATCGACCATTTTCTGACATAACCTAAACAAAAATATCATAATTCTAAAAATATTGAAAAATCTTATGAACTTACTTGAGCATTAGTAACTGTTCCAAATTTAGAAAATTCTTTTTTTAATCGTTCATCATCAATAGTGTCATCCAAATTTTGAATGTATAAGTTAACATCTTTATATTTATTCATAAGTTCGTGTGTTTGTAAATCGTTTTTATATTTAATTTTAGATAAGTGTTCATCTTCCTCTTGAAAACGACCAACATAAAGCCGCGCATCACCTATTGAATATCCATGTAGAGCTTGAACAGCCTATAATATTAAAAATATAATTGAGAAAATTATTTATTCATTATTTTTTCTTTACTTTTTCAGCTTCCTCTGGATTTTCATAAGTGCAAAATCCAAAGCCTTTTGAATGTCCACTATCATCCTTTGCAGTCTATATTAAATTCAAAACATAAGTTATATTTTTCTATTAAAAGAATTCGTCAACCTGAAAACTTAAAATTTTCCCATGCACTGAAAAAAGTTGTCGTAATATTTCATCATTGAGTTGATCACCAAAATATTGTATAAATACATTGGTAAATTCATGTAGTTCTTCAAAATCAGCTCCTTGAGTAGACGACTTAAAACGACCAACATAAACTTTTTTGTCACCTAACAATATACCATTGACTTTATTAATAGCATAATCCGCTGCTTTTTGCGTTTCGAAATCAACGAAACCAAAACCTTGTGATTCACCATTTTCATCTGTCATGATCTATTGATAAAATAAAGGCACAAAAGAAAAATTATTTTATTTTACAGTTGGATAATTCTACTTCACAAGATAAAATATTGCCAAAAGTCGAAAATATATCATACAGTGATTGAGTATCAATATTTCTATTCAAATCTCCAATAAATAGATTTCCAACGCATGGTTCACGTTGAAACCACTTGATATGTAATGAATGACCATGAAGTAAATCAAAGTTCATTGTAGCAAGTGCACGTTGAGCTAAAAGGATGGAGTATTTTTATTTGTGGAGAAGTATCATTTATCAAAATCAGTTTCACTGGATTTTGATCATGTCCTACAACTCAAGTATTTAATAAAAGCGTATGATTCTTTTTCTTTTTCTTCTTTCATTCGACTACAAATCATCTACTTGATGATGTTAATAACTTTTGACATACCATCAGCTAGTTGTTGAAAATTGACATGAGCATAACCAAGTGATTGTTGTGTAATCATATCCCGAGATATTCGAATTGATATAATGGGTCCAGCACTTGACAATTTGTCGAATAACATAGCCTCGGTAACATCCGGAGGAAGATTATCTTGTATTTAAAAGAAATTTACAAAGAAAAACAACAATATTCCAACTTACCAACATATAATGAGGCCATTAAATGGCTTGGAACTCCTAGTGAATGACTGGATGTTGTTGCCATATTTTCTTTTTTTGTCGTATAACGCTGTTTTTTTTAGTTTTTTCGACTTTTTTTTTGTATTTTCTTAAGGGTTAAATAAAGTCGATGGCGTGTTTAATGTATTTTTGCTTTCGAGAAAAGACGTTGCAATATTCTCATTCACAAGACGTTACAATTATAAAGAAGTATGATTGAGTTTTTTTGGTTTTTTTTTACCAAAAGTTTGTACACGCGCATTCACACAACGACAAACACACACTTGTAAACTGAAGGAAGAAAAAAATCTGATCAACGTGAGTAAAACGTGTGTAATGACGCACGATGACTGTCGCTGATGGTGTGAATGTGAGTGAGGATCTGGCTGCGGATGGAGGTAAAGATCTTCTCTTCACACCTACACCCTAAAGGAATGTTCATAGCTCATAAGAGAAACATTGATAAAAGTTGTTGTGAAGTATTACAATTGCCTTCAATAAAGAAATAGAACCTTTCACAGTTTATGAAAAAATAACATTCATGTCATCGCAAATGTGCTAAAGGAAAAATTTATCATATCCATTCCATATGAGTATGAATGTAACAGTATGGTATCGATTAATAACAAACGGTGTTATAACATCAAATTTTTATAATGAAAATTCTGCCATATCAATATCAAATTCAACGTTCATCAACATGTTCATATTATGTTTTATATGAAATGTTACAATCCAATGGAATGACACTAAGAAATGTTGAACAATTTTCATTAATTAATTCAACATATCGTCTAGAATCACAATTTGATTATGTAATATAATACAATATATTTTTATTGATCTAGGATATATCTTTTTCTCAATTACAATATCTTTGTTCTAATAGACCAATAACAACTATAAATAAAGTCAAGTTTTTCAAAAGATTTTATTTAATACGAATTTTGTTTTTAAATCTCCAATGAATGATTCATCAACAATTGTAGAAAAGAATGGAAGTAGTATGAGAAGTAAACTACTGCCAGTAGCTCCAAAACCATTATGGTCTCGTCAAACAAATGCAATAGCAGCATCATCTGTAATTTCATCAATTACTTTTTTTGTTTCTCAGTCAACAATTCTTTCTCATTCTCAATCATATTTAACTCTTGTTGAACGAGAACTTTCATAAAAATTGAATCGTTCATCATCAATGAATTAAATATTATCAAAAACAAGAAATAAATTTCTTAGCGTTTCTAATTCAACATTAATTATATTCAGACTTTTTCTTTTTAAAAATAATTTCGTCTTGTTAATGTATTAGGTCGAGATTATTTGAGAAGATTAATTTTCTTTGTTTTATCTATTTCTATTTAATAGTTATATTTGTATTTTAAATGAAAAGTCCTATTATCTGAATAATTTTCTCATTGTAGATAGTATTATGCATTAAAAGTATTGAAAAAGAGATGACATATTATTACGAGATAAAGTGAAATTATGATAATGTCGGAAAAACAAATATTCGAAATAATACATCAAATTTTGTGGAACATCAAAACGAAAATCTATAATTTGGGTCTGTTATTTTCAATTTTATTTCAGTTTTTGGCATCTGAAATAATTTCTGAATCAACTATACTAACTTGTTTAATTTTATTATAGGTTTTTTTTTATTGTTGTGCCAAAGTGTTTTAATATATGAAATGTTAGTGGATAATTCTCCATTTTCGAATAATGATGATGATGAAGTTAAATATCCAAAAATTTCTTTCTGTTGAATCAATAACTATGATGAAATGTGTATGATAATTAATTAATTTTTTATTAAAAATTTTTGATTTAATTTATGAATCTATTTGAAATTACTATGCAAAAAACGTGTCACATTAATTGCAGGAGTGCCAAATCCAAATAGAAAAAACAGGAGGAAAGACCAGTAGAACTTTACTGAACTGATTTAACAATTTGGCTGACTTATCTCGAATGAAACTGAAATTTTCGTTGAGACAACTATCTGTTTCTTTCTATTGCCAAGTTAGTGATGACAAGACTGTTCTGTATGTGATACATAAGGAATAGAAAGAAGGATAATTTTGTACATTTTCTCAAAAAAAAAGAATAAATCGATGGATTCGATAATCATTATTTTTCTAATTTTTACAAATAAAGTTTAGTTACTTTCATTAATGATCATGGGGAGTGGTTATGGGTGTAGGCAAACAATTGTAAGTTATTCACACCCCACACTCTATTATGGCTTTTTGGGCGTTAAAGTTTGCTCCATTTAGTTTGTCACATAAAGACAGAAAAAATGACAAAAAAAGCAAGATGAGAAAGTAGTGAAGTAAAGAAATACAAAATTTCTTGACTTAAGTAAATAAAACAATCAACGAATGTGTCAGTCACAATATCATTATGGTTCTTCGAATCTAGATTTTCTTCTAATTGATAATAATAGTTTACAAAAAAGTGAAGCTATATCTGAGATTTACATTTTAACCCTACTGACAAGCTTTCTTAAGTCATACTCATCAAATCGAGATTTATTTGGCAAAACTTTAAAATAAACAAATTGAAGTTCACAGAATTTCATCTGAATAATAACTGTCTCACTCGACATCTTTGATAGTGAAGTTTGAACAGAAATTGTCAAGAAGAATTATGTCATCATGACTGGTGCTGTGGCGATGTTGTTAGTGTTATTATAAATAGTCAAATTTTTTGTCGTTGTTCCCACATTAAATACACGGATTACGATAGGATGATGAAGACCAAGTTTCCGATAGACAATTGTTCTTACTTCGTTATTGGTAAAGAAAAGAACAAATGATTCGACGGCAGCAGAAAGCGTAATAAAAAAGATAGATATAGAATAGAATGGCCATGGAATTTGATCAATACGGTTGACTATAATGGAGATAAGATTCGGTGTTCCACCGACAATGAGCACAACCACAACCATAAGAATATTACGAAATACTTTGATATTTCGTTTGTTATTGTTTCTAAGAACATTTTCAACATGAATAACATTAGTTCGTGTTGTATGCCGCAGTATAATACCATAGAGAAGAACAATAATATTAACAGGCAAGAGAAAAGCAACAATCATCAAAGTAAATGATGTATGAAATACTTTAGTCGTAAAAACACAAAGATAAGATTCGGGTTCATATTGAAAGGCAACAGGCGAGATGAACATTGAACTGCCTAGAACTAGATTACATATCCAACTGAATAGAATTAATAATATATTTGTACGGTAAGTGAGTAGAATTTTACGTTTGTAAAGAATAATAGTAAAATAACGTGAAATAGCCTGAATAAGATAAGAAAATATTTTTACTATACAAGCAAATAGAAATAGAAAAGCAAGAATTCGACAAGATGGCGTCACCAGATTGTTAGTAAGTTGCTGCTGTTGAGCTTGAAAAAGATTCGGTATTTGAATGGCAATAGTGATATTAAAGAAGAGAAAAGCAACACAAGAATTACAAGTAAGAAGATTCGAAGTAGATCGGCAATGTGGATGCCAATGATAGATTATTGTTGTCAACATTACCAATGAAAAGATCGCTGTGAGTAAGACAACAATCGTATAAAGAGTACCGAAAAGAATAAAGAAAAGACGATCACTTTCCATGTAATTTTCAATGACAAGTTACCTTTAAATTAGTTGATCAAAATGAAAACAGTGATCCTAAACCCTTAACATGATACCTGATTTACGGATGTCAGAAGAAAATGATCAACAAGAGAAATATATTACATTGATTAATTACATATATTTTGATCCTAATGGTAATAGTAGATTTTCAGAGGATCAAGAAGAACTTCATTAATTTTGATTAATCTGTAATTTAGATATTCTGCAAGGATATGTTTACAGTCTAAAATGGCAAAGATCAAATATGTCTTAAATAGATAGTAGTGCAAAAAAAAATTCTCTTAGATGCAATCTGTTTATAAGTGTATCTCTTGACATTTGTGAAGTGGTTCTTCTAAAAATCTTTCGAGGACTAGTTGGTATACTCTATACAATATTTGTTAGAGTCGTGCAAAAGTCTTTTCGCAAATGAAGGTCCTATCTAGCAGCAATTTTTTTTCGCACTCTACTCTATCTATCTTCTTCCATAATTTTCTAATTGAAGTTTATCATTCAATGGACAGTCTGGTTTTGGAAAAGACTTAGTTAAATACTTGAAAATATCAACTCATAAGAAGTTGAGAAGGATCATAAATAATGTCATTCAATTGAAACATCTTCATTAATACTTACTAAGAATGCAATGCAATTATATCAAAGAATTTGAGATGAACAGCATTAAGATTGGTTTCTTTGAAGATTAATAACCCGGTTCAGTCTGCAATACAGTTTATTCTGTAGAAAATATGAAAAAAATATTCTTCTTTCATTTATAAATACCAATATGTTCGCCAATGAAATCTATTCATACTTGACATCTCGGCATGATATCAGTCTTGAAGAAACAATGAATTCAATTAAGGATCCTCCTCTCACAAAATCCTATTTTTCGGAAAAAGCTCGAAGCTGAGTTTTTACCATAGAAAGATGCAGCAAAAATTTCTCTTTCAGAATATATGCAGCTGTTTGGAACAGAACCAAATTTTAAGAGACTTTTAAAACTAATTTCAACTCCCTCATCATGGTTTTTTAAAGTTTCCCAGTTCTAGGAAAACTGCTTTGTATTTATTTCGGCATCGAATAAGTCATTTTATATTTACTTAAATTTGACTGGCAGTGGTCGTTTAAATCATTTTTATGTGCTTTAAAAAATTACGCTGACATCTATTTTGAATATACCAATTTAGTATGTTTTTTTTCTGGATTTGAATGAAAAAATTCATTTCTAAAACTTCTTTAGCATTTTCTCAAAACACGGTTTCCAGACAGAAAAACTGAAAAAACTTCCAGCCGGCCAGGGTATAACCATTGTTTCTTTTGCTCTAACGGGCTGAATCAGAGCTAACTTTTCATCGGATGGATTTTCGATGTTTAATTCCTGGGCTGAGAAAAATAAAATTTACTCTCATGGAGTCACATTTTGTATGCTTATTTTGGATACTATGTTCATAAAAATGAATGGAAGGGAGTTGCAAAACTCTGTCCAACGAAAAGTTGTACACAGAGGCTAGCTTTAATTTCAAACCAGCCCAAACCGTCCGTTCTAATTGGTAAATCAATTTTGAGGGGGGCCCTAAAAAAATAACTTCTTAGACAAAAATTTAATAATTATGAATCATTGTCTATATAGGTTTGATGATACTAAAATGGATCGAGATTTTGCTCAGTTGATAGACTTCGAAAAATTATTACATACTTGGGGATAGTTCGCTTTTATTATTAGAATTAATTCTTTCTTACCATAAGAAATTCATATCGTCAAAAGCAAATATCAATTCACTCTCAAACAATAGACATATAATTTGAAAATGATAATACCAATAGAGACACAAATTAAGCGTTAAGATCATGTAATTTATTTCAACAAAAACCACAAGCAATTTCTTACATGAAACGTATTTACAAAGTTTACTTTTCATTTATATCAAAATTAACAATATTTTACAAAGATAGTTTCATTTGATGAAATGAAATAAAGTGACGACAATGAAGTTTGATCATTCGATTTCATTTAAATTTTCATCTCTACAATAAAACAATAATTAGTTTTGAAAATAAATTATATTAATTTATGTTTTCATAAAANGCTTTTCTTGAAACATTAGTTAAAAGTATAATCCATGCTAGATAGGAGAAATTAGAACGATGTCAATGAAGACCTATCCAAATTAAGAGTCGCTCAGTCCTAGTCAACTATACCGCATCTAGAAATGAGGTAAGCATGTATTGTTCTGCGAAGATTAATTTAGTCAGCAATAAGCTTTTTTTTTAGTTTAACACATGAACGATTCTCTAGTAAAGTAATGCCAATTATTTATATTGTTGTAAGATCAGATAGAATATAAAGTACAAAAATACTAGAATAGGAAAGGAATATAATACAAAATCAAGTCGTCAAATTAGTTTGGTATAAGAGTTCATAATCTTGCAAGATTCTAGTCGATTCTGCTTTGTTTGAGAAAAAAGACATTAATTTACGTTCAAAATCAAAAGATATAGACATAAATACATTATCAGTAAAACGAAAAGTATTCAACAGATGAGATTTAATAAATATGAAAAGTTTTAAAGTTTTTAACGCTGATCTATCGGTGAACACTGTAGGTTTGGTCTAGCACTGTGTTTGCCATATTCAAAAGTGTTTTTGGAGACATAAGAGACGTATCATGGTAGAGACTTTCTGAATATGTTTCTTTGTTTGTTTCTCGACGCTTATAAGCTTACTCTCTAAAATCAAGGTATCATTAGGAATTTATGACCTCGACTTCTTCTGTTTACTATTCTATTGCAGTTATTTTCAATATGAAAAGTCTACTTTGCAAAGATAGAGACGTTTCATAAAACTTAACCAGTTAGACAGTTTTAACTAAAGAGAATAGACTACTTATTTTTAAGTCCATTTTGGATGTCTCAGTAAGGTGTGAGTGTGGGGTGTGAATCTCGTCTACAACCGTTCCACGGCCACAGCCACATCCTGACCAGCTCCCAGAGTAAAATTTTGTTTTCATTTTAACCTATACTGATGCAAAATTTCACGAGCTTTCCGAATATGTCATTAGATTTGTGGAATGTCATCATTGGGCAGAGACAGAGCCCGAATATTGCCCAGATTTTTTATGACCATAGCTGTATTATACATTTCAACGTCTGCTGGCGCACGACGTAGGAAAGCATCCGATGCAGTGTTCAATGCTCTATCGATTGGTGGATTCCGCGCTAAAAACGACCGAGAAATGACTGAGATAAATGGGAAATACTTCAGCAGTTCGTTTTTTGCTTATTTTGTCATAGAAACGTATGAAGACGAAAATGTTGTCTACGATGTCTCCACTCAGGTTAGCTTTCAAGAGCTAATTTTTTTACTAATGGGCTGACTTTTTAGGAACGTTCGAATCCCATATCCGAGATCGAAATTGAATTTTCTTTCGACAATCGGCTATGATGGTGGTTTTATAAATCCTCTATTAAAAGGAACTTTTTATACATACATCTTTATTCTATTTGTGAAAACCGCATATCTGTTCTTTTTTTATCAAAAAGAAGAGTCGCTGTCAAAAACGAAACTACGCAAGCTTTAAAGATGAAAAACAATTTTATTTCTGTGAACATTAAAATCTTTTTATTTTTTTAAAATCTCGTTTTTAGAATGTGACACATAAATTATCCATTGTTACATGGCTCGCATCACACGAACCACAACTCGAGTTGAAACTTATGCTATCGATGCCAGGCCAGTTGAGTTCAACAAAGGTTCTCTTTTGTGTAAATAGTTCTACTGTTTTTGTATACAAAACGGTGCCTGATCTTGTACCGATCATTGCCAATATGGTATTATTATACCAGGCTGCGCATGAATAAAATGATTTTATTGTAAATGCACTTGTAGCCGCATTTGTGATAGCCATTGGGTTACCATATCCATTAAAGACAAGATATGGAGGACTAACAACACCCGTTTTATAGCCAGTATTGGGAGTACTATAGTTAACACCATTCACAACCAGAACATTTTGCCAATTTAAACGACTATAACCGTTCGGTACTGGAATTCCTGATATCCCCGTTGAATGTATTATATCATCAAAAGTTATTAATGAGCTCGGTGTTGGGCAAGCTAGAAAAGAAAAATATAAACATAAATTATTTCTATATCTTCATTTTCTAAGTTTAGTGTATGACGGCATCAGAAGAATTCTTTAACTTTTATGTGAGACTTGCAGCAGCAATACTGTGAAGCTTATTCACTAAGCCAGGAAGTAATTGTGCAGAACAATTGAAACAAAAGAGACTGATATATTTCATTTATACAAAGAGACATTATAGGTTGAAAAACACATTATCATGTATAGGGTGGCCCATAGATAGTTTTACGATAAAAAATTGAATTCTCTGTTTCAATCAATCAAGCTGTTTTTTTATCATTGATAAAGGAGTGTTCTATGTTTTTATTCATAAGAAAAATATTAACCAATAATGCTCAAAAGTATAACTTTTGATTTGATCACAAAAATGTAATCATTTTACCAAAAAATAACGACAGCCGCCTAGATATTTTCGGAATTTCCTGCAAAAGAAATTTGACAAAATCTGATGAAATCTCGGAGAGGCCAGATAAACTGACGAAAGTCCAGAAATTGTAATGAAACTTGAAAAAACTATGGAATGAATAAATATGCATTTGTCGGATTAGAATGCAGAATATCGTACAACTAAACATTGAAGTCGTGTCACACTGAAACTATGGAATGGTAACGATGAAAACAATGTTCAAGTTAATATTAAGAAAAAGACTTACTCGTTGACTGGCTAAAAGCTGGCTTTACTGTAAAACAAAAACAAGAACTAATGAAATAAAACAAATAAAAGTGTATGATCCTTTTTTGATTTCATACCCAAGGGTAATATGACGCTAATAGTCGAGAAGAGTAGAGTGGCAGCGGCAGCAATTGCAAACATCATTTGTTTTTTCGAATGACAAATAAATCGAGTCAAACATCTACGGACAATTTAAATAATCATACTTCAGCTGTTACTGAGAGCAGATAACAGGTGCTGTCAAATCATATTGTCGATATGAGGCAACAAAAAAACGGCGATTTAATTTATGATGTATATTAATACGATTAGTTTGCGTTATCTTTTTTCAAACGGTGCTGCATTCCGTTGAAAGTCGACTTCTATTCAAATCGTGTACGGCAATCACAGTTTCGATGAAACAGAGATAGGCTTTAAAACATTAGTTTTTTTTTAAACAGAACTTATAACTTTCGCGATATTGTCCGCAACCATAAATGCCAATCAGCTTGATATTTTGTCCAGCGTGATGCTTTGAAGTTCGTATCCTTTCCATTTCGTTTGAGAATGTGCAACCAAAAGCAATGAATGCAAATGAATACATCATGCTTGGATACTTCCATTAGTGACTTGTAATAATGGACATTTTTCAAAACAAACATATTCAATCAATAACGAATCGAGTGAAATAAAACCTTTCAAGTCGCTTTCGCTCACCATGAAAGTCTACAGCAGGAGAAAAGAATAGAAATCATTTCAAAAATTCGCGGAATAGAATTGTGAAACAACAAATTAACTAATAGAAATATGACTGCTCATAGTATTGCTCATTTGACACACATGATTGAAAGACCAACGTACATACAGTATGAGTGTGGATGTTTCCTATCTCGGCTTTCACACCCATACCCCATCCTTGCGCATTAGCAGCTGATCAGCTAATTCTGCACAAGTTTCTTTTGATCTATCCCGTGCTATTCAGAACAAGCTGTTCGACAGATATTTAGATGAAGCAGATAGTTTTCAGTTTCATTCGATATGCATGATTCTGAAAAAGGAAGAAAAATTGCTTCGTGTTTCACAAAACCGTGTGACATGCTGACTCTGTTCTTCGTCCATCAATATCGATTCTCAAAACTCGTTTTCTAGGAGCTTAACATTTAATAGTGGGAAAATTCTGCATACGTTACTATTTTATATATTAGTCTTTTGCTCTAAAAGTAGTGACATTGGCGCTGTCTCAACATTATTCTAACGAAGAGAATCTTTTTAATACTTCTCCTCTTTCTATTCAGCCATGATTAAAATAGGAGAAAAAGCAATGTATTTTTGACGAAAAAAATACCAATCATGAATATCGGTAAGACATTAGACTAGATTCTGTGCAAAAATCTGTTTGCATGATCATGAAAAGAACTCATTTTAATGCTATATGCAATATGGACAATTAAACAATAATGATTTTAATGCTCGATGTCGTGTTATACGACGTAATTATTGCATTTTAATGGTCGAAATGGTCTTTTCCATGAAAAAAAATGCGTTTCAATGCTTAATTCTCCATTATTCACCTGACGGGATAAACTAAAAAAAGATTTTGTAAGTTTTCGTGAGCATGATTTTTCTTTAGCGTATCGCTCTACAGTTAGATTATTTCGCTTACGTCTAAGATCAACAGAGGTTACTTCTAATGTGGCCAGTTATGTAACGAATTTTATTCTCTGTATGACTAACTTGCAAATTCATTCTGATATCAACATTTGACTTCTGACTGTTCTTCTTATTCTATAACGAATTGCCTAATGTTTACTCTAGATACGAGAAAAAAGCAAAATAAAAGTGTAGCAAATGTGTGACAATACGCACATTCGCAGTCATGTTACTTATCTTCCTAAGAGTTTTATTTCTTCTACCCACTATTGTTATTACTTCGAAATACTATGCAATAAAACCATATCATGAGTAGGTAGCTCTTTAAATATTCACACACAATGCAACTTTGACTTATTTTAACATTTCTAAATCAGTTCCGACATCTTTCCACACTATGGTAACATCTCTGTCTTCGACACTACCCTCAAAAGTCTATCCGATCTTGCCAATTTCACCTTCTTCGTACGCGATCGCTCTGACGACTACTATTTTATTGCTGGTCCCGTTGCAGTAAATCCCGATCTACACCTTATCTACATGCCTATTCAATGTGCTACTGCATTTCAACGTTTGTTACTGTTCTCATTCAACTATGAAACCAGAGAATACCGTCAAAGTACATGGATTTTAGACGATGGGAACTTTCATATGCTATACTATGATCGTTTACGTAAACGTCTCTTTGGACTAAGAGACGTTTTTACATTTACTTTGTTTATCGAAGAGTATGATACAATAACTTTAGACGTTGTTAAAGTTTATACAAAACAAGATGGTGAGAAATATGCATTTCCATTTGCTTCGTGTTCCTGTTTTGATTATAATGAGAATTGGATTATTCAAGTGCGTACACGTTTTGAAAATCCAGGTGTGAATGCATATTGGATTAAAATGGACTTAAATTTAGTTGGAATGAAAGAAGATATCGTCACAGATTTTCATCTGATGCCAAAAGTATATAATTTCTTAACGATGACATATGATATTGAGAAGACAAAATTGATTTTGTGTACATGGCAGCATGGTTCAATTGAATTGAGTCTTTTTATGTTTCATCTGGATCCATATGAAAGTGGAAAATTTCCATATAAAAATGAATCACTTGTTATGTTGTTTAAAACAAAGGAGGGAGAAGATATAGAGGTCACAAAAGATGTATGGAATCCAGTAACACGGGAAGTGTTGTTTATGATACAAACTCAGAATGATGAAACGTTCGAGACAACAAATTATATGTTAAGAGTCCAATTTGATACGTTGGTAATAATAGAGAAGACAGTACTGACAGATGAACAACTGCCATTATTTGAACTATGGGAATATTTTTATTTATCTGACAATTAATACTCGAAAACACTCTTTAGATAGAGAAGAATCGTTTGAAATAAAAAAAAAAACTAACCTTAACTTTAGTGAAATGAACGACTTTTTAGATGAAATATAAAATGTTTTATTTTAACAGCAGCGAAAGATATGTAATTGACAATGTATAAAGAAAGACTACCAAAAATGACAGAATTTACTTTTGCAGAAAAAATTGCAAAAGTAAATTCTGTATAGACTAACTTGGGCGTGGATGTTGGTATGAGTGCAGCCGAAAAGAATATCCACATCCACACCCACACCCTCTTCGAGAAGAATAAATATTTGTTGATATTAAGAATGTTTGTCATCGACGATCGAATTTTCTGAACAAATATCAAAAAGCTTGTCAGCATAGCTCATTTGAGGCTAAAATGTGCAACTTACATATATTTTCTAGCCTCATTAAACTAATACCAAATACGTAAAGTGAAAGATCTCTTGTAGACTATTCTGCATTTTAAACAAACATTTATTTCTATGTGCGCTACTTTTTATTTTCATTTTGTCAATTTTATCGTAATTGGTCATTTTGTTAATTCTTTTTTTTATTATTTTAACATTGTTATTATTATAATCAACGAATTAAGTGATAAACAAGTCTGTTTTACACATCGATCATATCTACAGCAGATTTTAACGCACTATTATAAAATATAATTAACACATGAAAAATGATATTCATTATGTTTCAAAATTTTAACTTGATCAATTTTGCAAAAGAATTTAGAAAATATGAAGCCTGTTTTCTTCAATAGCTGAAGTCTGTAATGGGGACTCTGGTTGCTAAGTGTCTGCAATGGGGGGGAATGCGAAACCGCAAAAACTTCAACTTGAAACTTACACTCACTGTTTTCTTCGAAAATATATGTGAGTTCCACAAAATCAGATCAATGAGAATTTCGTCGATACCATTGTTTCGCCTCCCATTGTATCTTGCTACGACTAGAACACCTATCAGTTTTAGATTCAAACATCAAGAGTCAATGGTAAAGACTTTAAAAAAAATAATCGCACACTTGATAGGAGAGCTCTGTGGTTAATTTCTATTGACAATTACTGTCTTATCAATATCGTCAATGTTGCCACTCTGTTCAATTAATGGTAATACGCGATAATGAAAGGATAACTTATTCGATAGATCAATTACAGTAACATTTTTTCTTGGTAATGAAATACATATATTGCTTATCAACTGAAAATGTCCAATCCATAAAATTCGTAAAATTTGGAATTGGTAAAAATACGTTCCATTGATAATTCTCGAAATTTAATACGCATATATTACCCATAGAATAGTCACTTATAGGGGCATGTACTTCAGTTGAATATGCAAAATTGCTTAACAAATTATTATCAATTTCCTTTAATGTCCATTCACCGCTTTCGATACGAATTGATAAGATATGATGTGGGTCATTCACCAAATTGTACAATATCTATATTATACCAAAACTGAAAAGAATAGATATACAACAAAATTGCAGTCTATACCATATGAAGAATTGATTCAGATGCATTTAAATTCAAAGCCAAAAAACTTGTTGGTGGATGTAGTACTTGATATTTACCAGAAAATATGTTACCGAAATTGACAATTTCTATATAATAGACAACTAAAAATGCTAAAGTTCTTATGCTTTCAATAATCGTTCAGTATGTACGATCGACTGTGGCCCATCAATGACAACTTTTGTATGAGGATTAGATATTCTACAAAGATAGACTTCAAAAAGAATATGCCTAAATCAGGACAGAACAGAACTATGTGGAGATTAGATTGAGTATTTCTCCGATAATCAAGAAGTGATTTTAATGAGAACCTATCCGCGGATTTCTAAGATATTATCCTACATGTGACTTTATTTACCTCAATGTATTTCGTTCGACGATGCACGACTATAAAAGGTTGTCTTTGTTTTACTTGAAGAAACAGCAAAGACAAAAAAGAAACCTCACTATAAACCCATTGCCCTGATAATGCATCAAACACATAAAGTGATACAGGAAACGAACCATCAAAGTCATTTTGAACTGTACCCAATTCTAATAAATATCTATCTGCAAATGAATGAATCGGTTGAGTACAGAATGTTTTCATAGTTCTAGATAATGGTGGTTGAGATAAATCGTTGACAATGATTAGATTT